GCCAAGGCCGCCCCTCCAGCTGCCGCTGCCTGGAGGGACCCTTCGCCAGCGCGCCCCGGGGGCTTCGCCCCCAGCAAAGATTTGAAATGGCTCTGCGTCCTCTTCCAGCTCCCTTCCGTGCCCATAGTTCCTTTTTATCTGCGGAGCACTTGATTCTCTGTTGCACTCTGCCTGCCTTCCCCGCGTTTTCTTTCTCGTAAGTACAGAACATTTTTTTGTAACCATTTCCTCAATTGATATACTTTAGGGTGTAGTTGGCCCATAAAAAAAGCAATCACTGCATTCAGTGGAGTCATCTGGCTATCAAGGGAGGAAGAAGAAAAGCCGGAGCCTGGATTTTCCTTCTTGTTCCAGCAGAGCTGGAAGGAACCCAGCGCTGATGACAGGCCTCTGCCAGTTACAGGGAAGTTCCAGCCCGACAGCCTCAGGCAGGGCTACAAAACGGCCCAGGCCTCTCGGACACTAGTGGGAAGGAAGCTGGGCATGATTTCCACAGATAAGAATTACAGACGGCTGGAATCACTTTCCTTCAGTCCTTTGCTTTTAGGCTTAAGTGAAGGTATTCTTGCCGTAACGTTAATGCTTGTGACTCGCCATTATTTGTTCTTTCTTAAAATGAAAATTAGCTTTACTTACTTATTCTGTTTATGAAAAGAAGACATGCTTACTATTTTGAGGAAAAAAAAAGAAGACAGTAACCTTACCTTCTAATCCTTAACTAATGATGGTATAATTTTTGCTTTTTCTGGCATGTAAAACAGAAGTTTTCTATAGTATCTGCAATGAATGAGACATCGGTACTGTGGTGTGATCTGAAACTCCACAGATACTTGAAAGCATTTGTTAAAGTTTGATCAGTGATGACTCCATATGGTTAACTTATTTTAAGTTGTTCAAATTTTAGCTTATTGTTTCTCATTTAAAATCGTCAGGAAGTATTGGGATGAAATTGTTATATTACACATTTTGCTTCCTGTCTGTTTTAGGCTAACAGAATGACATCCAAAAACAGTGGACCAAATGAATAATATTTGAAATATTCATTTGCCTCTTTTGAGCTTTCAGAAAGATAAATGTGTGATATTTACATGGCCTTATGTGCTTTTGATAAACACAGTTGGAAGAGCCGTGACTTCTAACAGTAGACACATCAGTGAGGTTGAGTTACTACATGTATTAGCGTAGCAGCAGGATAGTAAGTAGCTGACAGATAGAGCAACTCCTACTTACCAATAGGTGTAAGCCCGTGCTTTAGAGATTCCTGTAAATCCCCAGTCTCCGAACTAGAAGACATTCTTAGTGAAATTACAGGCAGTCCTTTGGCTTAAAGCAGAAGTCATTGAGCATAAGAAACAGTGCAGCTTGTCAAGTTTGGTAGTGGTCGGGAGCACACATGCAGACTACAGTACTCCCTGAGTGAAAGTTAAGAAAAAGCAAAAAAAAAAAAAAAAATCCAGGAATTCAGAAAGTTACAAGCAAGTCTTTTCCTGGACTCTGTACTTTTTCCAGCATCAGTGCCCTGCTGTAAACCATGTGTCGAGTTTCATGATGGTTTCTAATCAGAGGAATGGAAACTTTCGATAGGCTTGGGCTAATCACATGACTCTGTGCGGGCTGATAAGGGGACCCTGTTATAAAGTGACAGCAGGAGAGATAAGAACTCCTGGCAGATAACGGCAGAGAAATGATTAACTCAGAAGTGGAGAGGTGCTGTGCAGCACAGAGAGCGGAAAGCTGTAAACTGAGGGGTCAGAAGATCACAGTCAGTGGGAGGGGCTCCAAACCAGCTCAAACCCACTGACTAACCTGAGGCTTGTGACGCGCTCCCTCGATGTCATCACCTCTGCTCAGAGCACAGATGGGGCTCTCCGACCTCTGTAAGTGCATTTTAGATGACAACGTTGGCAGACAGTAATTCTTGAAGTGATGACTGGGGATGTGACTGACACTTTGCAGGGCTACAGGCAGCCTTTCCAAGCCTGTGCTGACTGACTTATTTGTGTTTCGTTAAACAGTTTTTGATCTGCCTCTTCGTTAGCTGAGGAATTCGCCTGAACTGGTTTGCACATTGGTCAGTTGGTTAAGAGGGCAGCCGACCTATCTCTTTACCCTTGATAGACTAAAACTTATACTCTGAGGTTAATGCTGGCAAAATGATGAACGTGTAACACATTTCCCATAATTTCAAAATCATCATTCTTTCTTGAATCCATGGGAAAAAATCTGGATCACTCTTCATCATCAAAGAACTATTACTCAAATGACCAAGGGTTTTAGGCTCTTGTTGAAAATCTCTCTAATTCTTCAAACTTACAAAACCTGAATTCTTAGAGCAAAGCATGTCTTTCCATATTTTGTGGGACAGTTAGTTGTTTTCTTGTATGTTTTGATTTTGCTAATGGAGCAAACTTTTTTTTTTCTTGCCTGAGATTCTATTTGGAAAACCCCAAATTTTTATATACAGCATTTTCCCCATCAAAATTGTACTTTTTGGATTAAATTTGACTGTATATAATAGGAAAGCTGGAATGACAATAGTTTAAATAACACATTTATTTCTCTCATAAAAAAAATTCAGAGGTTGGGGTGGTACAGTGGCCCTACAAAGTTGTTGCAATTTATCATCCTCTGTCTCTTGTCCTCAGGTTCCAGAACAGCTGCGAGGGGTCAGCCATCACTACTGGGAAACAGTATGGAGGAAGGAAGAAAACACATATTCCTTTTTTAGGACATTCCCTGAAAGCACCACATAAACACTTTGCACATATCTCACTAGGCAGAAATTAGGCACATATCCACGCTTAGCTGCAAGGGAGGCTGGGCAGTATTTAGCTGGGCAAGTAAATATGCATTTCAGAGTAAAAAGGATTGGGTGATTATAATCATCCACGTCAGTCCTTTGTTGTTATTTCTTTAAACAATCAGGCAATAACATGGCACAATAGCAGAAATGTACCTACGTACAAACTATGCAGCTGTTCCCTTCAAAATTATTAGGACTCCAAACGGTTTTTGCTTATGTAAGTCAATGTCTATTAGTGTTTATTGTGTTCAGAGTTAAAACTGAGAATGTAAAAAAATTATTAATGACTTATAAGTATATTAGTGTATTGTTCTTAAAAATATGTGACTGAATAACACATTTAAAATTGAAAGCAATTATTTTCCAAATTGAAAAAAAAATCTGTAAAAAGTGGCATTTTGAGAAGTCTCTTTAACGTCTAGCTGGATTCTCACATCTGCTTCTGCACTCAGTCTGTAGTGATATATTGTTTTGGTTGAAGTTTATAAGAAAATGTGGTCTTCAAAATACGAAGTCAGGAAAAAGACGAGTCTCACAACAGCTTCTTCAGCTAATGATTGCCTTTTTCTTTGGCACTACGCCAGAAGCCCACAGGCGATGTCTTCTCAGTTGAAATATGGACTCTGAAGCCGTTTCTGTGGACGCCTTGTGCTCTACTGCACTGAAGTTCACTGGCCTTTTCTACACTTCAAATACACCTTTTCCTATGCATGATTTTGTTACATCTTATACTGGTGATTTGAAAAATAGAGGTTCATCAAATGTGGCAAATTTTCCACATGTGGACAAGTGTCAAAAATTCTACTTGCTAATGTCACCACTAATGTCATCAAAAGTCTTTCAGTCCTGGGAGGCCGTCAGACTCGCAGTGAAATATACAACTTTTCGCTTGAACGTCTGAATTTTATCAGTGGAAAAATGTTCTATTTTTTCCTTGAAGTAACTGGTTCACTTCATATTTGAGAAGTGTCCCCCAAGCACCCACATCTAAACGACGGCAGTTTGTCTGTCAGTCATTCTCAAAATCTAAAGGTAACGTTCCTTTGAAAAAAAGGAGTCATGTTCTTCAAGGGTAGCACGTTAACACATTTTCACAAAGCGCATCCTGTGTGGAATACACTGGTTGTTCTGGTCAGAGAATACAAGGTTTGGAATCCTTTGTCAGACAAAATAGTGTGTTAATTTTGTCTGTTTTCACAATGTGCTTTCATAATTCTATTTTTGGGAAATTCAGGGCAAGGAAGAAATTGGAATTGAATTAAAATAGATGACATCTTCTTTTGTTAAATACACAGAAACTTCCTGGTGCCGCAGCCTCAGTGTCCTGCCTGGGCTGCCTGCGCCCTGCTATGAAGAGATTTGTGGAACACAGAGGAGTTGGATGCTTACCATAGGAACCTGGGATTCTGGCTCTTTTTCTGGCTTTTCATGTCTTTGAAATAAATGTCAAGATTATTTAAAAATGCACCTCCCTACACCTCAAGGTTACATTGTCAGTTGGTTAGAAGACTGATTTTTAAATCAACAGTTTCTTCATTTTCTTCAGGGCAGTAAAGTTAGCAAGCTCAAGGATGTTTCCTTGAGTCTTTGAAACTCTCTGGAGAGAAGGACTTGGTGTTTGTGATGAGCCAGAACAAGTGCACCTCTGGCCCAGGACCTAAGAAGAAAAGAGAGATAAATTGACGAGGGGCTATATTTATATAAATGGGATATATATATATATATTCCCTTAATTAACACATTATAACCTAATTAGAGTAATTGTTTAAATCACGGATGCTAATAAGGCTAAAATCCAGGTTTTAACTTCTATGGAAAGAAGTTTTATAAATGGAAAAACCATCTGCAAGATCGCGTGGACGACTGGTGTCTCTAGTCGCACGAGAGTCTTGTGCCTTAATTGGGGAGGGGTCAGTTTGATACACTTATTGTATAGTTGATAAAAGGAAAGGGACCTTTTCTGAATTTTGATTGGATGATGATACCAGGCAAGTTGGAATGTAAATGTATGACACTAGCTAATTTCAATGTTGAAATTTAAGTTGAATTTTCTTCTTTTAGGTTGCTGGAAGAGACTCCTCCTCAGTGAGTGACTCGAGCCCATGGGTGCACATTTTCAAGCCTTTATGTGGCTTGAAACAGTATGAACATCGATGCTTCTTTTAAACTGAGTAAGTGGGGTGTGTGTACAGCTGCAGATCATGTGTAACTCTGTATGTGGGCGTTCGTTGCAACATAATTGCACACGTCATAATCGACTGAGCTGTCGTTGTCTGAAGAGTCACATGCAGAGTCTATAATCCCCTTTTCCTCTTTGCTGTTTGCTCTGATTACTGTTGCTTTCGTTTCTCCTCTCGCTTTGTGTTACTAGGTTGAAATAAATGCTGGAATACCACATCGGAATGATGATAGTGCTGTGTGGGTCTACGTGAAGGAAGCCAGAAAGAGAAAGAAAAATGCCACATGGCATCATTTATGTGTGAAGTCTGAAAAACAGAAGACACAAGCAAACTTGCTTACAAACCAGAAACAGACTCCCAGACATAGAAGACAAACTTATGGTTACTGGGGGGAGACGGGGTGGGAAGGGATAAATTGGGAGTTCGAGGTCTGAGATACTATCATGTGTAAAATAGATAAACAACAAGTTCCTACCGTAGAGCACAAGGAGTTCTATTCAATATCTTGCAGCCTCTGTGATGAAAAGAATATGAAAATGAATATACGTATGTCCGTGTGTGACTGAAACGTGATGCGGTGCACCAGACATTGACCCAGCACTGTGAACTGACTAGACTTAAGGTTTTTAAAAAAGCGCCATATGGAGAGACCGGATGGAAGAGAAATGAGAACGGAGAAAGGCCTGCCGCCGCCTCGCTCTGCGCCGCTGACTCCGAGCCCCGCCCGGCACGCTCACCTCTGGCTCCGGTTTGGATGGGTGGGGTCTGGGCGCCTCCTGGAAGTCGAGGTGAGAGGTGGCCGTGTGGGCCCCGTGAGACGTGCATAGAGCCTCCTCAGGGTGGGACTGCGGAGGAGACCTGTCATAGGGGGTGAGCGGTTTAGAACCAGCAGTGGTGCTCCCCGGGTGAGGGAGCTGTGACCTTGGCTGGTCGCTGGAGATGGCGTTTGACAGACAGGCTGCTTTTCCTTTGAGATGTGAGCTTTTGTGTGCACTCTACTCGGCATTCATGCAGTAGTAGATACTGTTTACTTAGCTTACATCTTTCCTTTAGATACACAGTGAATTTCAGAATACGATTTTTACTGAAACAACAGTTTCTCCCCGAATTTCCAGATGGAAATCCAGAAGGGGCATACATTTTTGCAGGCGTAGCTCACGCCTGTAACTGCTTTGGAAGATGTAGGGCTTCTCTCATAGATGCCTGCATGTCAGACACACATTTGTTAAGGCTTCACATGTTATTCAGTCCATGAAATAGCGTCGTCCATCTGATCTTCCCACACATCTGTCTTCCTCTGAAAAACCATTCAGCTGTAGTTGGTGAATGCAGCCCACCTGTGCATGAGAGCCTAGAATTTAGGATCAGAAAGTTCACAACTTTGTCCCCTACTCAGGGGCCAAGTAATGCTTGACCTCTTTGAGCTTTGAAGTCTTCAAGTAAAAATGACAAAAATTATGGAATCCAGTAGTGTTTGTTGTGAGAAGTGAGATTGTATGTAGAAAGTGCTCAGTGTGGTGCCAGAGAGAAAGTGCATGTTTTGACGCCATGAGAAACCAGTAGGGACCCTGTGACTGGGGTCCTGGGAGAGACTCGTTTTCCATAGTGGGCTTTTGGAAGACACACGCAAGCTTCTGTGTGCGTTTGGCTTTGGATGCCAGCTCTCACTCACGGGTGCTGCTTGACACCCCGCGGGAGACCTTGCGTGTGTGGCTCAATAGCGTTCCGTGGTGCTCGGCTTCGGTTCTCCTCCTTTTTGTGTGCGGTTGACAAAATATGAAACAGTGAAAAAGACTGAGCTTTGTACTTTGTTACAGGTCGTGTTTGTTATATGCTATGCTGACAGGATTGTTTACAAAATACTCCATGAACGTTGAGGGGTGACAGCGTTGCTGGGTTCCTAGTGACTCCCACCAGAACCTTTAAAAATACTGTTTGTTGTTTGTCACTCTCTGACTCCCTTTCCTGTGGGACTTACTGGCACGCTGAGGAAACGTCACATTAATGAGTGACCTCGGTCTTTTGAAGCTTATCTAGCAGGCTAATTTAATAGAAACAGACACTCAGTACTTTGTGAGAAACGAACATATTTTTGTGAAAGAAAGGCTGGTGTGACATTCACATGTGATACCAACAGCAGGTGCTTGGAACTCAGCCCTGAAGATGGTTAACGGGCGATTTCGGTCCCAGCTATGCTGGAAAAGCACCAAGCGAATCGCAGCCTCAGTTTTGAGCGATTCTTCTTCTCACTCGAGGCGCGGTCTGGCCGTCTCCTTCGGCGAAGGGGGGCATTCTGTTTTTATCACTTTCACCCTCCACTCATCGGGCACCACCTTGGAGCAACGTGCAATGACTCACATTTACAGGGATACATGTTCATAATGAGAAAACACGATTTTGGAGAGGATTTGTAAATGATTGACAGATAACTAATGACACCTGGGCATCTTTGCCAAAAGCCAAAAGGTGTTCGGTAACATCGACTAAACCCACAGTGCGTGATGACGCTGGAGTTCGGTTAATGAGTTACAGTCGCTGTAAACTTCCTGCATACACTCTTCCAAGACGTTGAGACATATCCATTAGGAACTGATATTCTTGCAATATTGGATTTCTGGTGAGCACCAGGCAGAGGCAGATACCAGAAAGGCCCTTTAGGTGGGTTTACATTTGGATTGATTAAGAACAAGCACCCTAAACTACTCGTCCCTCGAAGGGACTGATTGCACCAGATCTTTAAGGTGTTTGCAAAGGACTTGTAAATGTAGAAACCAGTTAGCGCCAAGCCGTTGCTTACCGGGGCATTTTTGCTGGTACCCTTCACTCACAAAGTTATTTGTCGCTGATTTCATTTAGGAGCTGGGCCAGTGTTGTTGAAAAAAAAAAAAAACCAGCTGCCTTAACAACGCCCAAGCCTCAAATTATAGAAGATGGTGGGGTGGCAGACTTGGAAAAGTAATGACCGTGTAAAGATTTCTTCCCCTTCTTTTCAATAACGGTGAGAAATACGGCACCTGGCAGGGAAGATAAGTTACCTTTACACAGAGCTCTTATGGCCAGGTAAATATTAGTCACTTTTTATAGCACTAATAATTGAACAGAGCCCCAGGCAATCTTTCAGCAATTGAAACGTTTGAAACTTTATTCTGTAGGCTTGTGCTGGGTTCCCCACGTTTCTTAGAACCTGAGACCTGAGTCTGATGACGGACGATTCCTATCAGAGTAAACGAAATAAACTCAGTGCCATTTTGTCTCCATGGAAGGCCATTTAAAACTTTTGGACAAATAACTAAATTATCTAAGCGGTTTTTATTGTGTATTTATTTAGTGATAGAGTCGATTTTTTTTCCTTCTTTGGTTTTTTGATTTTTTTCCTTTTTAAGTATAGTTGATTTACAACGTTCTATTAGTTTCTGGTGTACAGCATAGTGATTCAGTTACACACAGACATATATATATATACATATTCTTTTTCATTACAAGTTACTGCAAGCCATTGTCTAAACTGTTTTTAAAGGGGGATCCGTAGCGTATCCAAAGTGATTTCCCTAGAAATTATATAGTGATTAAAAACAAACTATGGAGACACAGAGGGGAGGGCATAACTCGGTCATAGAGTTTGTGCATGAGGTCCTGGGTTCAGTCCCCAGGACCTCCACTGAAATGAATAAACCAACCAACAAACAAACCTAATTACGCCCCCCCAAAAAACACAAAAAAATATAGACACACAAAATAGATCTCAGACATTCTTAATGCATGAAACTGAACATTATATATTTACTAACTATCATCATCTGATAGACCACCTGAATAAAGTAATCGTTCTTCTAGACTGAAGCATTTCTCACGGCTAAATCTTACATGGCGCTAACATAACTCAACCTTGATTGTGTTTCAGTTATTCTAAGAGACACTGCTTTACTGGGGTTTTTCTTTTTTTGCCTTTTCAATCCTTTGTGATAAAAGAAAATGTTTAATCAAAAATGATAAAGTATAATTTAAAACTATCTACTCCTTACACAATTTCTTAATACACAGCCATCTGTGACTAGTCAAAACCTCAGCCATCCATCTGCTGACGGTAGTAAAGGCATAAATGCACATTGTTTGGGGAAAGAAAAGATAAAAGAATAAAAGAAAGGGTTAATTGAAAAAAACCTGAAGATACTCAGAAAGGTCGTCTTCAGCTGCATGAAACTGAGGAAAACGCAAATGGGCTGGAAGGAGGTAGCCTTACTTTTGACCTTTTATTTTTAATTCCACGAATCTAACAAGTTTACCCTCAAGCATTATTTATTTAGATGCCACTGTCTTTTAGATTTTTCAAATTCTTTTGCATTTCCCAGAAACCCACAAGCCATCCAATTTTTCTGTTCTTAATATGAAAGAAAAAGACAGTTGATATTACAGATAAATAAAAAAATGGAGTTGTCGTGAAATTTTAATTATTGATTCTTTTCCATTAACTTCCATGACTACCCAAACTTAACTGTGCTGTGTTTAAATTTAGTGCCTTTTTGGCCTTTATTATGATTGTAAAGCTTTATTCCAATTAATTATATTAATGTTAGGATATATATGAGATTTGGGACAGTTGTTACTAGGTAGGTGGTTTTTGACTAGTTTTTCAACCTTTTTCACCTCTATATATATCTTCATGTGTTTTCCATTTATCAAGCAGGTATTGTATGTCAGGCCCTCTGTTAAGTGCTTTACATACACTCTGTCATTTAATCCTAAGACTAATTATTTTATTTACCTCTGCTTTGCATATGAAAATATTGGAAAATTTAAGTAATTTCTCAGCACTACAGCAGTGGTATATGACAGAACTGGGTTCAAATCCTAGTCTGACTTCACTGCTCAAGGTCTGAAATTAAATCTTGAGAATGACAAGATTCTGCCTTGTAAAATTATTTTCTGAATTAAATACTATATATGCCTGGCTCATGGCAGTCATTCAATAAACACCAGCTAACATGGTTAATTCTGATGGCTGGGGAGACACCCTGGGGAAACGCAGGCGACTTTAAAGGTAGATTCGCTGATGCGTCATGTCCTGAAACGGTGTAAGCATATATGAAATAGCAACAAATCGTAAGTGTGGCACCAACTCCCCACGCCCCAGATGAACTCATCTTTAATTTCAAATACCTTTTTTGGATGAAGGACATCACCAAATTCCTAAATCAGAAATTTGGGTGTCGTCCTAAAAGTCTCTCTCTCACTTGCCCTGTCTACTCAGTTGCCGAGCTCAGTCCCTTCCGCTTCCTTAACACCCCTCCAGGGCGTCCCCTCCGCTCTAGTCCCCCCATTGCCTTGGCTTCTGACGTCCACGCTGGGCAGCTCTCCGGCTTTGAGCCAGAGGGGCTTCAGGTCCGGTCTGGGCACCGCACTGATTGACAGCCTGGCCCTTGGTGAGTTCTCTGTTTCCTTTAACATTGCTTTCTCAGCAGCACCAACCACGACTCTTGAGATGGTGGGAAGGCTGAATGACAACGCAGGTATGGCAGGTCCAGCCTGCTGATGGGCACACGGAGGACCCTCACCACTCTCCCCTTCGATCACTTCCTTTATCTCCCCATGGTTCTTTGCCCTTGCTCTGGCTTCTTCTAGAACTCTCCCCACTCTCTTGCTTAAAGATTTTGTAAAATTTAAGAATGATATTCTGCTGCTTAAAATTCTTCAGTGATTTGCCATCCTCTTTAGGATAAAGTTCATACTGTTTGAGTTTAATGCACAAGACCTGTTAGGAGCTGACCTTCTTTTTTTAAACTTCTCCGATCTGTCTTCTCCTCTATCTTCTCTTTCATTCTACACTCCAGCTACAAAGAACTACTGGTCATTCCTCCAAAGGGCATAATGTTTCATGCCTCTGTCCATTCAGCCATCTCTTCATTTGTTCATGTCTCCATCCATCCATTTACTTTATCAGCTAAAACATGCTGGAGCCTCTAACTGGTGCTGACCTCATGAGGTTCAATTTGGTGAAAGACAGAAGTAATGGGAATTGTTTTTCAGAGCTGAAGATGCTGGGCGACACCTAGGTGACCCTAATCCATCTGGGGGGGAATGAGAGGCAGCATCCTGGAGGAGGCAGTGCTGGAGTATCCTTGAGGGCAAATCAGAGCGAGCCAAGTCACAAAGGTTCTCCCCAGAGATGCAGCGCACGCAGCGCCGTGGGGCCAGGAGCGGCTGTGGAACGCGCAGGGTCCTCGCCCTGGCCCACGGGAGCTGCGCCCCGCCTGTGTTTAAGATATGTGCTTGGAGCAACTCTTTAACGGGGTAAACAAAATGGATACATGCAAGCAGAGTGGCCAGCAGTTGAGGAATGGCTGCATAAATTACAGTGTCTCCACTTCGTTGGCTACAATGCAGCCATTAAAACAAGCTCAGCAGAGACTTCTGCAAGGCCAGGCGGGGTCATGTGTGTTTATTGTTGCCTGAGCAATGCAAGGTGACTGTGTCAGTGGGAGATCTGAGCAAAAGAGAAGAAAACAAAGTATAGGCGTATGATCACATTTGTGCCTTCAGGTGAAAATCTGCGTGCATGTAGATACATATACAGATAGAGAGATTCAAGCAACTTAGAAAATGCAGACCTGCATAAAGAGGAGACATGCGACTCCCCTGCAATCCTGACTTCTCGAGATCTTAAAGCTTTGAAGTATTTCTTCCAGTTTTTTCCTGTGCATTTGAGTACTTCAACACAAGATTGGCACCATATTGTATACACTGTTTTATGTTCAGCCCCTTTAAAGGTTTACCATTATATGATAAATATTTTCCCATCCCACTGCATTTTTTTCTAAAACATTATTTTAGATTTCTGGCCACTGTTTTTATTTTTTTAATGGATGTACTGGGGATTGAACCCAGGACCTCATGCATGCTAAGCACGCGCTTTCCCACTGAGCCTTCCCCTCCCCTACTGTTCCTCTAAATGGCTCCTTCATAACTTATCCTTCTTCGGTTGTTGGACGTTTAGTGCTCATGAAGTAATTTTGCTGATTTGAACAACCCGGCCTTGTCACTTCTTAGTTGTATGTCTTTCTGTGCCTCAGTCAAATGGCGCTAGTAATAGTACAGGGTAGTTGAAAAGAGTGAAATGATGTGAAGTGTGTTTCCTTATCGTTGAGACTGCCGTGCAGCAGGTGCTCAGCGAGCGCTCACCCTCTGGGGCTCTGAAGCAGTGCAGGGAAGTTCTAGTTGGAGGATGCCAGTGCCCACCTCTGGTCTCTGCTGTGAACACTAAACAGTCTGTTCCAAGTGGTCAGTGTGACACCTGGCACATGACGGGCCCTCGGGGCATTTCCCTGGGTCTCTGCACGTCTCCGGTCTCCGCCGAATGTTCTTCCTCTGCTGTTGAGCCCCCGTGTGCTCCCTTATGTACGGCCCGCCGTGTTATTATCCACGTTCTGCATTATGTGCAACACTCACGTCTGTGTTGTGACAGCGCACTTTCCCTTTGACTTGCTTGCTTAGAGGGGAGTCTTTTACTTGTCTGTCCCTGGTCCCCAGCACAAGGCTCACACCTTGTGGGCCCTCAGTGAACATCTGGGGAAGGGATGGTATTGAGAAAGAAGATCTTAGACCAAGAAAGGAAAGAAAAAGACAAAAAAAAAAAGAGGGAGATCATGGGAAATGGGATTAAATGTTAGGGAAACTGGGATGACTACAGGTCAGTGGCAGAGCACATACTTAGCAGGGCACGAAGTCCTGGGTTCAATACTCAGTACCTACAACCAAAAAAAAAAAAAAAGAAAAAAGAAAGAAGAAAAAGAAAATGGTAGAGAAATGGAGAAGGTGGAAAAAGGGGAGAGATGGTGAGGACCCTGGTGGTGTGGACTGGGGCTGATCACCTGGGGAAGGAAGTAGGAAGGTGACTCTGTCCTTGGTTGGTAGGGTGCACGGTTGGCTATGCCATGTGGATTAACCGCTGACTTTTCCCTGCTATGTGGCCAGACTGGGCCCAGTTCCGATGTAGAGGGTCTCGTTTAATCATTTCAAGCATCCTGGTTTGGGTAAATGATTTTAATTCCTCCATGGGGGAAATATTCACCAGAACTCTTTTAAGAATGAGGACACTGGAGATTTGTGGGGTTCAATCACTTGCCCAGAGCCAATCAGCTTCAAAGGCCTGGAGCCATGATGCGCAGGTCTGTCTGGTCCTAGAGCCTGGGCGCCCATCACTCTGCTTCCCCGATCCTTTATGGAGCTGGGACCAGACCTGGCTTCAAATGAGGTCAAGTGTGTCCCGGCAGTGACCGCGGTAAACTCCACAGCCAGCCTGGTCCTCAATGTTCTGCTCCGCTAAGAGGTTGGCATCCGGTCATTGACATTCTTACGGGGCTGCCCGGCGATCTGTGAGGAGACAGGCCTGTCGGAGGAAACCACAAGAAGAAGGTCAGAATGTCCCCTGGGAGATGGCAGAAGAGCCTGGTCACGTGGACCAGGTGGAAGGACACAGTGGTCGGGCCCTTTTCCTCCCTCGTCCTACAGCCTGGCCTCCCTGCAGAGTCGCCTCTGTCATCTCACCGCTTATGAGTCATCAGTGAAAAGACAGGAAAACAGGGGACGAGAGCCACAGGGCAGGAGGCCGTATTTTCCTGCGTTCGAGGCGGGGAGGGCAGCACCGTGCTGGTCCCATAGGCAGGGACATAGTAACAAGGTAAATTGCAAAACCAAAACCTATTTTATTTTTCAACAGAGATAGAAATCTGAAAACTTCTGACGGTTGAGAAGTGAAGGGTGACAACACCTGAGAAAACAATTTTTTGAAAAACCCCCAAGCGTGTGAGCTTCAGGGAAGCCACAGCTGAGATGCCGGAGATGAAGGATCATTTTAAAAAAGACTTAGAGCTTTTAGACGGAGGGCACCTGGCTTTCTAGTTGCTATTCTAGGGACACGTCTGGGGACAGCCCATTGCAACAGAACCACAAACAGCTACACGTTCTTGCTGTCCCTGGTTGTGCGTAAATTCTAAGTTGAACACACAGGTTTTAGGGGCTTCTCCCAGCTTGCAGGGCTCCCGTTCCTGATACGATTGGAGTTCAGATTCTTGCAGAGAGGCTCGGAACTGGAGAAGAATTTGAGGAATGTTTTCCCCTTTATTTAGTTCATCAAAAATAAAGACACTTTTACCTTCTCCCAGATGCGGTCTCAGTTGGGGCCCCGTGGCTGGCTGGGGTTTTCTGCGGCTGATCACCGTGCCAGCGGTCTGCAGCGTCAGTTAAAGAGAGCCAGCGATTTGAACAGTTCACGCCGATTTTCTTTTCATGATAGCACCCAGGGTAAGCGCCATGCTTTGTAACGTGGGTGGATGTGACTTCCAGTTTGACTAGCTGGTAAACTGGAGGCATTTGATAAAAATTTTAAAGTGATTTTGGTCTTTGCCATGGATAAAACCCGCAATTCTGTATCCCGTACAGCTCAAAGTATTTTTTTATACCAAGTTTATTGAGGGGATGTTGAAAATCAGCTTGGATGTAAGTAAAAGGATAGATCATTCTCACCATGAAAACAATAGATGAAAATATATCCTGACTTGTCAAATCGTCCCTGGTGCTTTTATAGAAATGATCTCATTGGAATATTCCTGCCCTGCCTTCTTTCAATCTCACTGGCCAGAGCAAACATTTAAATCCTGGTTACTCTGTCCAGACACTGTTCTAGGCGCTTCATGTGAATTAACTTATTTGTTCCACAGCCCTGTGAGGTAGGTGCTGTGATTGTCCCCACTTTAAAGGTCAAGAGCGGCCCCACGGCGCGTCTGTGCAACGGCACAAGGTGGGAGAGATGGTAAATGGGGAAAGTGGGACTCCGCTATGTCCGCTTTGCACTTGGCCTCTGCCCCCGGCTGCCTCTATAGGGGGCTTGAACCTGCTACGGATGCCGCTTGGATAAGTTTTTGCCTCACCACGTTGGGGGCAGGATGTCACTGACTTTGCCGACCTGGCCTTCGCTCGTGAGCACTAGGAGATGGTCGGAGCAGAGAAGGTGTCCTCGTGTCCCCTGTGCAGGACGTCTGTTTCCCGCCTGCAAATGCTGATGTTCTGTTTTCTGCAGAAAGTACCCATCCATTAATTATTTGATCAACGAAGGCGTGTGGGAGCCACCCAAGTCTAAAAGTGAAAGGCAGAAGGCAGAGACGTGCTCGCGTCTGTGGAATCAGTTAGGGTTTTGTTTTTTTTTAAGATTGGGTTTCAAACCCATTTGACAACAAATTAGGTATTTCTGGTTTTATCTTGTTTGACATCAGTAACAGCGTTATCGACTATTGGCCCAACTTAGGACCCACAATGCTCTGTGCCTTGTCTTAAGCCCCCGCTGGATGACTGTCATTGTTCTAGAAGGAGGCTGGACAATTTGATTTACTGCAAGGACTTCAGGACTACTGCCGTAGTCCCAAAGTCACCAAGAGGTACAAAAGGCCTATTGTGCTGACAACTGCTGAAGTTTTATGTGAATTGCTATTGTGTTAACACCCTCTAAATGTTTTATTAGATCGTTTCAAATGTGCTTCAAATGCAGCTTCTTAAAGAAATAGTTTTCAAAAACATTTTAGAAAGATGACCTAGACATCTAAAGACCTTTAACTGAGTTTACCATAAACTTGTGAATTTGAAAACAAATTCTTTTGTTACACCCAGACATGGGGGAGTGGGATTTCAAGAGCTAAAATTTGAATTTTTCTTTGATGCTGTTTTTTTTTTTATTCAACTTTAGTTACCTCATCTACAAAAACTGGTTAAAATGATAAATCTGCCTCAAGCCCCTGAAAGGGATGATGGAGGAAAATGATTCCAGAACCCTTTACGGAATATTTAAATATCTTTCTGCATGCAACATAAAAGTTGTACTTTATAACTTTAGGGAATTTTTGTTTACAGCTCTTGTAATCTGTGATCTCCATGAAGTATTTTACTCTTCCCGGCTTATCTTAAAATAGAACTCTGTAACTAGGAACACACGTGTGTGTGTGTGTGTGTGTGTGTGTGTGTAG